GAATTTTTATTTAGTCATTCAACAGATTTTGAAGTACATCGGAATTGGCTTGCTATAACACATAGTTTGCCAATGAATCAATGGTATTTTGAAGTAATTTTACAAAATAAAAAATAAAGAGTATTGTTGATGCATTCTTTTCTAATTGAATAGAATCGATCGGAATGGACACTTGATTATCCTCCATTATTTGCTCATTTTGAATATGGTTTATCAAAACTTGCTTATTATTTCGATCCTGCAATGCTTGACATCAATAATTTAAATTATGCAAGTGAAAAAACAAAATTATTTCAACGATTATCCGTAATTGGCAGTGAAATTATTTTAGTATTCGCAATTTTTTCGTAAGTTAGCTTTTATTTTCTAAATATTATTCATTTATTAATCAAATAGATTATTAAAAACAATGCAAATTGGTAGAAAAAATCATGATATACCAATGCCAATTATTCAAATGTTATTCGCATTAAGTTTACTTGCTAATTTTGGTCTTATTATCGTCGATCGTATCCTTTTTTTATTTATTTACTTTTTTAAAAATCTACTTTCTAGTTATTTATTCTCTTTAACTCATTAATCTATATAGATATTCATTTTCAATACAATGGATTTTTATTAGGTATCTTATTGATATCCATTAGTTGTATGTATCAAGTAAGTTTTACTGAAATATTGTTTCTGTTTAATATTTATAATTTTAAGAATCAATATCTTATGAGTGCAATCTGGTTTTCAACATTACTTAATTTAAAACATATTTTTCTTTATATTGCACCAGCATATATTGTTTATCTATTTTATTCATTTTGCATAAAACAAAGTAAATATGTTTAGTTTTAAGAAAGGTGCTATATATATATACTCTCATAGGTCCTAATGGGAAACGTTTTATAATCAATTTGATAACACTTGGAATAGCTACTCTAGTTCCATTTGTATTATCTTTTGGCCCATTTATTTTAATGGTATTTAGGAAGTTAAATTTTTATTCAATAAGTTTGATGTTTCTTGTAATAGAATCAATTACCACAAGTACTGTCACGATTATTTCCATTTAAACGTGGACTTTGTCATGCTTATTGGGCACCGAATATTTGGGCCGTATACAATGTTGTTGATAAGGCTTTAGCAATTATTGGTAAATCGATATTTTCTTTTTTAAGATAAATTATCAGGAAAATAATATATATATTTAGGACGATATACTCATTTATTTTCTGTTCGTTCTGTATCTGTATCGATGACGTCAGGTCTTGTACAAGATATTGAACATCAAGTATTACCTTCTATAACTCCTACAATGACATTTATTCTAACATTTATTTTTATGATTGTAAATATTAATACTTCATTCTTCTTTTATTTATTGTTTTTTTATTTTTCTATAGCCAAGTTTAATTCGATTATTTCGTTATTGTTCTAAAAGAACATTTCTTGAAACTGTTATTCTTTGTGCACTTACATCATTTCTTTTTGGATGGCATGTTCATGAAAAAGCTATTTTAATTTCAATTATACCACTTAGGTAATCTTATGAATTTATAACAAAAACTTAATTTTATGTTTCGATATAGTTTGTTAGCATTCGATAGTCGAGAACATGCTCGTTATTTTCTTCTACTTTCAACATTTGGTGGATTTTCACTTTTTCCATTGATATTTACTGGGCCAGGTAACCACATTTTATATATATTTTTCATAATTGATAATTCTTGTTCTATATAGAAATCCCAATTAAGATTGGACTTTTCATAGCTTATACAACATTTCTTTTTTATATCCTCGGTGAAGTACATGGGTAAGTTATGAAATTTTATCTATTTTCATAATAAATATATTTATATAGTGATCGTGGTTCAACATTTACTCTTCCATTACTCAATCGATTCGAAACTTTATCAGTTGTTTTATTGGCTCCACTTTGTCTTTATGTCGAATGTTTACATACAGTATTACATATCGATCGTATTTTACCATTTTTACCTTTGTTACTTATTTCTATCTATTGTTCGATTTTTATTATATATTGTTGGATTCGATTACATCGAATCGAAGCGCATTCGGAAGATGAATTAACAGCTATTGAATCTACTGTTAAATTTAGTGGACGATGGAATAAGAAACAAAAAAACAAATCTGATTAAACCCTATTTATTATTTTAGATAAAAAATATCAAAATGACAACATTAATGACTGATAATCAATCAAATACACTTCTCGATCATCAATGGATTAACAGTGAACAAGCAGCAGAATATTTGAAAGTAATAAAAGATCGGTCAGATAATCAGTTGAGAGATTTTTGTATGTATAATTAGTTTTTTTGTTTTTTGTAAAATCATTTTATATATTTTTAGCATTATTATTCAGTCCAGCACTTTCCGCGACATTAGTAGTAAAACAATATCGTTATAAAATTCTTCTTATTGGTAAAACAGGTAATGTTTTTTTATTGATTTATATATATGTATATTTGATGAGGAATTTTGTAGGTTGTGGAAAAACTAGTTTAATACGTGCTTTAATGGGTAAAGAATTCTCAACAGTGAATGCACAACCAACACTTGGTATTCAAACAACGAATGTCTATTGGCCTGTACGAGTAAATCAACCAAATAAACCATTATTTATGTTTCGTCTTGATTTCTGGGATGTTGGATATACCAGTTCGACTCGTTATGATTATATCGATAGTGTAAATTTTTTTATATTTTGAAAGAATTAAATGAAAAAAATAATTAATTTAGGATTCAATGGATTCAGTCGATATGATTATTTTTGTTATTTCAGCTGCTGATCGTGAAAGTTTCAATGAATTAGCTGCCTTAATCGAAGAAAAACGTAAACAATCTAGTACTAATCGTCCATTTGTTAGTCTAATTTTTATTACTAAGTAAAAAAATAATTCGCTATTTTTATATTATTAAATTTAATTTTATATAGATTTGATCAATATGCTGTATTAACAGATAGTGATGCAAAAGAATTTCAAGCTAGATATAATATTCCTGTATATTTATTTTCTAACGTTTATTCCAATATGCGTTTAGCAACATCGTATTTAAATTTAATTGCTGAAAAACTTTACAAACGTGATCTAGAATTAGCTGGTCAAGTTTTAAGTTGATCATCGATATTTACTATATATTAATCCGTCCAGTAGTTATGTGTGTCAAACAAATATTTGTAGATGGTTTTTTTTTAACAATGAATGAATGAATGTTAAATAATAAATTTTGTTTAAACTAGTAGGAGGTAGATCTCGATTGTTTCTCAAGGTGAATAATCAGAAAAAGATAAACTTATATTTTATTAATATACTTAACATAAAGAGATGAAAAAATACAATGTAAACAAAACTCTTAGCATGGGTTTTTGAACTAATTTGATTAGTGTTATGAAAAACAAGACACTAGTAATAACAATCAATTCCTTTGTCTTATCTCATTTACACAAAGGTCAAGTACCGAAAATAGTTGAAAACTAATGAATGTTGAAGGTTTTTATTTCACGATATTATTTTCTAGGATAATAAATTGTCAATACACATAAGGAAATTTCTATATGTAATTTCTCATTGCAAACATTTTATTCTATATAGTTTTTTTTCCCATTAAATAAAGATAACTGCCATGTGATACAAGTCAATTATTTTTGAAAAATATTGCTTTTAATTGATACTTCAAAGTTTAATTGAATGGAAATAGATTTATTAGTCATAAATTACTATTCTCGATATAAATTACTCAGACTAATTAAATTAAACTAAACTATATTTTTCAGTTTCTCGGACGGGTGAGAAATATGTAAATATTTTGTATCAATTCGTGTTTTAAAGTACATTTGAAACGAGGTACTCGTTCTTAGCAGATGATTTTTCTTCGTGTGAGAAAAAAAGGAAAATGATCGTTTTAAGCAAAGATGAGAAGTTTATTTCCTGACAAATATAAGCACATTTTCTTGAAAATAATATTTTAATGAGGTTGAAATGCTCTTGGAGAAAGAAATAGAGGAGAACAAAAAAAGGAAAAAAAAAGCAGAGCGTTAACATTTCAATGATTCTTTGTTTCTTTAACGCGTAGAACTACAAAATTAGAAAGAAATCTCATTCGTGACAATCATAATCGAGTGTATGTTTGACTGCTGTCGGAAAGTATAAATATATATATATCGCGCAATACACTAAACTATTAAAGTCTCAATTCTACTATTTGTTTATCTATTGAACTCTACCAACACAACAATTCAAAGGATATAATTATAAAAATGAGCAAGCAAAGTAAGTCTTTTGAATTGTAGGAGAAAACTAATTGACTTAGACACCTAATCCTGTTATTTTTGATATATATATAGAATCGTCAACATTCTTTCGGAGTGCAAGTGAAATGGTTCGACGTACACTCTGTGGTGTTATTGAAAGTTCAAATGATCAATGTATTATCGATGTTGATGATATTGTTATTATTACTCTGTGCGACATAACACAATGGGATTGGACTCGCATCGATTTTCCACATATTCCATTTCGATATATTGTATCGGATATTAAATTAGATGATTGTACGCATTTTCCAATACCATTTACACTTTATTATCAGGATGTCGAAATTGATGAAAATCTTTGTTATGGTATACGATGTGATGTATTAAATAAATCGAAAGATATTAAATATAGTTCACATCGATTTATTCCTGTATTAACTGAACAACATCCAAAAACCAATGTACATATTATTGTTAGTCCAAAAAATAGTTTATGAATATTATTTCAATTGATTAACTAAACAAAACATTTTATAGTAGAGAAAAAAAAATGTATGTTTATTTGCTTTTAAGAAAAAAAAAAAGGTTTTTCAGATAATTAAATATATATATATTCATATCGTTTTCAATTTTAATAAATTATTAATCATAAAAAATATATCGATTTAGTGGATATCAAATATACATTAGTTTCAGTTTTTACTGAATAAATATGAATTTGATCGAACATCTAATAGATACAGAACATATTGGTAATAATATACATCAATAATCATCATCTATCGCCATCTAGTTCTTAACAGTATTTCTAAGTGCCTCAATAACATATTAAGAAAACAACAAATTGAGCATTTCCAGTATATGTTAGACATTGAATTATACCTAATTAGATTATTTTATTATAGAATTATGAATTATCAAATAGAAAATGATTTCTGGCAAATGCTATTAAATAAGATATTATAGAAAAAATACAACTACGAACATACGCATATACTATAGAATAATATATATATTTTTTTAAAGCACCTGTGTGCTATATTAATTATTAGAATACAAAAATTGACAAATAATAGCACATAATAATGTCAGATACTTTAGGTCATTGCCCTTTTTGTTTGTCTAATGTTATCAATCGAAAATAAACAAAACATGTTTCTATCCTCGCATTCGCAAAACAGACATACATATTTGTCTCTTCATTTTTCTTTCCTTATTCTCGATAATTTTTCCTTGGTTTCCCCATAAATACCATCAATACTAACGAATAGAGAAAAAAGGTTATTTTTATTGGTATTTTGAGTAGATTACAATAGCAAGCTTAAAATATATATATCATTTTTTTGTGTATAAATTCTTTTTTCTTTGTGATAGATTTGTTTTCTATAAATGGTGTCCCTATTGAATACTTTTCATTAAAATTCATGAGTATTCCCAGTAATATTATTACTACAAGAGAACACAATGTTTATTCCTTTCCTTTTATCTTCTCAGCACATTACATGATTTTCTTTGTGCCTTTCAGATGTAAACATTAATGTATATATAGAATGAGTCAGGACGATATTCTTCAATCAGCAAAATCTGTCCTACAAGGTCTTGATGCATTGAAAAATGAACATGGAAAAATTCTTGAGAATATTTCTTTTTCAACCGAGATAATATCATCAACAAATAAAACTGAAGAAAAAGTTGATTTATTACAAAAATCCATGGATATGATTGATTTAGGTATATATGAAAAAGAATAATTTTTTTTGAATAAATTAAAATTTTTTTTGTAAAAATAGGAATTGATGAAGCACAAGTCATGATGCAATTAAGTAATCATTTACAAAATGTTGAAGCTGAAAAACAAAAATTACGTACACAAGTTAAACGTTTATGTCAAGAAAATGCTTGGTTACGTGATGAATTAGGATCAACACAAAAGAAATTACATGAATGTGAACAAACAAATGCTTGTTATTCAGTTGAACTTGAACATTTAAAATTTTTAAAAGATGTTAAATTATTTGATATTGAAAATGATAATTCTATGAAAAATCTAGATTCAAGTAATCAACAAATCGATGGACAAGATCTTGTTAATGATTTATTTCCATTAGATGATAATGAACAAGATATTAGTTCAGATAATCAACAAATTTATTCAAAAAAATTTGATTCCTACAATGATTTACTAATATTACCAACACAAAATACAAATGGATCATTTATTTCAACAACTGGTTATGAAATACCAGCTAGATTAAAAACATTACATAATTTAGTTATACAATATGCATCTCAAGGACGATATGAAGTAGCTGTACCTTTATGTCGACAAGCATTGGAAGATCTAGAAAGAACATCAGGACATCAGCGTAAGAAACAAGAAAAAAAATATTATTAGAATCTGATATCATCTAAATAAGATATAGATATAATTAATAGAAAAACTATAATTAACAAAAGGAATTGAATAATATATCAAAAATATTTAACTGTCTTCTATACATGAAGAAAACTTTTTCTACTAAAAAATAAGTAATCTGATTATCCTATACCTTATTTATATTAAAAGATGTTGCTAGTTATGTGATACGGTAATTCCAGCCAAATAGATTATTGTCAGAATAAATAAAAACGAGTACTTGTTCTATAAATATTTTTATTATAGATCCTGATGTTGCGACTATGCTCAATATTCTTGCACTTGTTTATCGTGATCAATCAAATTATAATGAAGCGATTGTATTACTCAATGATGCTCTTAGTATTCGAGAAAAAACACTTGGCTCTGATCATCCGGCTGTAGCAGCTACATTAAATAATCTTTCTGTTCTTTATGGTATATCATATATCATGATTTAAATCAAAAATAATATTATTTTTTTAGGTAAACGTAATAAATTCAAAGAAGCTGAGCCATTATGTAAGCGTGCACTTGAAATTCGTGAAAAATGTTTAGGTTTATCACATCCTGATGTTGCTAAACAACTTAATAATCTTGCATTACTATGTCAAAATCAAGGAAAATATGACGATGTTGAATTATATTATAAACGTGCCATTGATATTTATACAAAAACTTTAGGTTCAAATGATTTAAATGTAGATAAAACAAAAAATAATCTTGCATCAGCTTATCTTAAACAACAAAAATACAAAGAAGCTGAACAATTATATGAAGATGTACTTACAAGTGCCTATGAAAAAACTTTACAATCATCAATGCAAAATTCATCAATAGGAAATTATAATTCTCAGAGTAGTTGGTATAAACCTGTTCATGTTGATACACCAGCAGTAACAACAACATTAAGAAATCTTAGTTTATTATATCGAAAACAAAATCAACATGATGTAGCTGATAGACTTGATAATTGTGCATTACGTGCTGGTAAAGAAGCTGAAGCTATTGTTCAAGCTTTTCATATTGTTAAACAAACGAACAGTTCATTTTAGGATTATTTTTTTTTCTTCTTCTTCTTCTTTGTCTTAACAGTGGACTTTTTGTTTATTCTTACGATGAATATTTTTTAAAATTAATTTTCATTTGAAAAAAAGCTGTAAGCTGTTACACAGACAAAGATTTAAATAAATTTTTTTATTTTATACCTATTCAACGAAAGAATTGTAACGAAAATTTACTTCCTGAATCGAAATAGTTTTACTCGACGGATGTATAATAATTAATTAAATATTCTTATCGTTCTTTGATAAGAAAGTTATGATATCAACATGAGAACTTTCACGTGTATTTGATCTACCTGAGGAGTGTATACAATGACGTATCAGACTAGTCTTTCTTTTTTTTTTATAACACATGCTTATAGTTTTTTTTTCTCAAGTGTTTCTTTTTGTTGCGGAGGAACAGAAAACGAAAGAAAGAAAAGGTAATCATTGCTGTTTTACTACGCGTATTCGTGCATTCATCCATATAAAAACGAATTGAAAAAACAAGTCGATTGTATTTATTACCTTGTATTTACAAAGAAAAAAGAATTAGTTAATATATTAATGGAAGGCGAAACACCAAGACCGATGAAAAAACTTCATCGTAATATATTTCACAAAGTTGGGAAGAAGTTAGAAAAATTTGAACAAAGTCTAAGTGTTTCAAGTTCACATTTACAACATGGTGCTGGATCATCAAGTGATTTATCCTCAAATTATCATCATACCATTTCAGAAAATTCCGAAGAACAAGATGATAATATATCGTTACAATACACTCCACAATCTCATTCGGATTCTCCAAAAGCAGTATTACGTCATAACAAGGGTATTCTTCTATTATCACAATAATTTAAAATAACATAAAAATATTTTAGCTGATCGAACATATTATCCTCAGGAGTCTGTTTCGTCAGAAAATTCACGTTCTAGTAGTCAGTGGCATATGAATCTGGAAGAGAACGGTAATATATTTGAATTAATTATTTACGATTGATACGTTCATTTATTTTAGCTGATGTATTTGTTAAAAATTCAAGTTCAAAATATGATGCAGAAATGAAAACACTTTGTAAAAATTTAATGGAAAACCAAGTAGATTATATTAAAAAAAAATTATTTTATTTAAATCATATATTTTAGAATGTTAATTTAAATGAATGTCGAGAATATGAGAAGAAGATATCATTATTACACATTGCTGTTTCATTCAACACACCAAAAGTCACTGTTCCGGTAAAGAAATTTTCTAGATTAAAAATAAATAGACTTCTTTTTTCTTGAAATTAAACGCATGTCAGACCTAAGATTAAATCGAGGCATGGATTTACTCTAACTTATAGATCTATATTTCTAGGTAATACTATATCTTGAAAATACTTTATCAAAACCTTTATTTTACGAATTAATCAAACAATATCCATCAGCTATAAACAATTATATCAATATAGCAAAATTACGACTTGAAAATGATTATTATATAGCATTACTAAAGTAAATTTATTGTTCCTATTTACTCCTTAATTTTCATTCTCTTTTTTCAAAACAGACAATTCAATAAACATGAAGATATCGCTGTAGGTAAAAACAAACTATATTATTCAAACTGAATTATTTATTTAATTAAGATGATACGTCTTCGACAAGCACGTGAAACCAATAATTATGATACTAAACTAACTTTATTAAATCACGCAGCTATGTATGTCTTATATTTAACTTAATTTTTAAAACTAATTTTTTTATAATCAAATTTAGTGATCTAAGTTCACATCCTTGGTGGCATTCACAAATTCGTGAATATCACCATTTACTTACTAAACAACGAGAATTACAAAATGTAAATAAAAATTATTTTTACTAAAATTAAATATTTATTTTAGTCACTTTCAACTGCGCTATCAACTATTAATCTAGAAAATCGAACTGTACTTGAAACGTATAAAACAATATTTGATATAGATTTTCGACGACAAAAATATAATCGACTTACCGAGAAAATAGTATATTGAATTATTATTATTTCTCTTATCAAAATTTTCTGTTTTAGACAGCTGAACGAAGTAAAGAATTCGAAACAGGTTTTCATGTAAAACTATTTCTTGATTCTTCTATTTAAAAAAAAACAAATTTTTTCATTCAATAGCTTTCTCCGGAAATGGTTATGTGCGCAAGATTATCCGCAATAATGCATTGTGGTTTACGAATGCATTATGACGATTTTACTCATCAAGCAATGCATCAGGTTTTTATCGTTAGAATTTATAAGACTAAAAAAATATTTTTTTTTAAAGAATTTTTTCGGTAAAAAATATGTCATAGCGCCAGAAAATTTTGCTGATATGGTTTATAATTGGGTACGAGCGAGTGGCGAAGGACAAGACAAAGCAAGTGAAAAAGCTGGGCGATTTCTTAATATGATTCAAAATCCATTACGAAGAATTTATTATGCTGAAAAATTTTTAAATTATGATGTTGCAATGGATGTAAGTAATATTGAAAGAGAATAATTGTTCTTCTTATTTTATTTCTACAAAGACGATCGCAAATGTTCTTCGTGATCGAGTACAATTAGAACAATTACGTCGACGTATACCGCAAGATCATCCATCATTTCATCGTGCTACAGCATTATTAGAAGTAAATCTTTAAGAAGAAGAGATTTTTTTTATTGATAAATTGATTTATTTTGTTTTAGAATACAAAATGGAAAAATTAAAAATATCTTTATTTCGTTGTCAGATGATTATTTTAATTTTTCTATTCTGTAATTAATCAAAAAACAAATTTTTTTAAATGTAATAATAATATGATAGAAGAGGTTATCTATGGAAAAGAAGTATCTATGATAAATTTATCGGAAAATCTTGGTGCTGCTGGATCTTTTGTATTAATTCGTTGAAGATCTTCACCTATATCAAGTGATTGTGTTTTTATAGATGAATTATTTGTTGTTAGTAATATTATAAAGATAATACCAGCAAGAGAAAATACAACTAATGAACCAAAAATAAGAAACAATGATGAATTATTCATTGGAAAAAATTTTTATAAAGAAAAATATTAATGCGCCATAGATTAAGGTTAATTCTAGAGGAGAAAAACAAATTTTTTTTTTATACTGAATTATCTCATAAAGTTGTAAGAAATGGATCAGTTGGATTTGTTATTGTCCGATGATGATGATGTATTGATTGAGGAAGGATTAAGCGGAACTGCACTAATAAGATTAGCAATCGTAGTGGGTCCTTCGTTAGATACTTTTTTAGCTGTTGCTGATGATGATGGTCGTCCTATAATTGGTTGTGTTATGTTCGGATCATTTAGATCAATTGTAGTTGATGTATCGTGTTGTTTAATAGTATCAGTATGATTTATAGTTGTTTCTTCTTGTTTCCGATTCGATGATGATGATGGTCGTGAACTTGATAACGTAATGAAACAGTTATTTGTAGTTGTGTCATCTTGTTTTCTATTCGCTGATGATGGTCTTGAACCTGTTGTTGTAGTTGTGATATTATCGATAGTAATTGTATCATCTGATTTATTACTAGCTGATGGTGGTCTTGAACCTGTTATTCCAGTAGTGACATTGGTAATAGTTGCATCATCAGATTTTTTATTAGCTGATGATGGCCGTGAATTTGTTGGAATAATATTAATAGGGTTTGACATTGTTTCAACCTGTTTTACATTAGCAGATGTTGGTCTTGAAGTTGTTTGAACCGTGAGTGGGGTGTCAGAATTTGACGTAAGAGTAGGATCACTTTTTACGGCTGATGATGGTCGATTAATAGTATCCTGGGAAGAAATTTTTGCTGCTGATCCAGGTCGACTACCGATAGTAGTAGATTCAACTGATTGTTTACTCGCTGATGGCGGACGTTCATTTGCAGCAACCGTTGACAAAATATTTTGTGCTGATGATGGACGAGATGATTTTTCAATAATTGATGTTGCATTGTTGAGATCTTTCGATGATTCTTCATTAGATTTATTATTATTTGCTGATTGAACGCGTGATACTGATGAGGGTATTGCTGATGAAGAAGCGGGTGTTGACGACATGTTGTTGAGTGAAGATTATATTGAAAAAAAAAAGAAAAAATAGAACGCAATTCAAGGTCTTTTCTTTCTGTTACAATATTAATTGTTTGTTTTAAAAATGTCAAGTTGATTCAGTTTGCATAGAAAACAAATGAACACCCCATTTTCTCGTTGACTTAACTATACAAAGAATACTTAAAAAAACGAATCAATTTCTATTGATTGATTCTATTTGAAGTGAAATATCTGTGCTATTTCCATACATATTTCGATACAGAATGTAAATGACAACTATAATCATTGAATTTATTTTAAAAGTTCATATGATATACATCAATTTTTCTTTTTGTAATCTATTTTATAAATAGTATTAATAAATGATTGCATGTTTATGAAAATAATCATAATCATCAGACATGCTGACATGATTGTAAATGAAAGAAAAACAATTTATTTTTTTTTCTTCTCCTCATTTATTTTTCAAATAACGATAATAATATTTTCTTGCTTTTGATTAATATGTCAAAATCTATCGAATAAAATAAATTCTATCGTAGAAATAATCAAAAAAAAATACAAACAGATTGCAAATATAAATACAAGTCTTACAGATGTTGTTCTTTAATTAGAAGAAAGAATGTTATCATTCGACATATGAGTCTATACATGACCTTGCCAGTTCTCTTAAATAAAATATTTTATACGGTTTTTTTTGCTGATATTATCACTAAAAATATTTTGCAAATCTATTAATACTTATACATCTAACTGTTTATTAAACTGCTATGCAAAACAAGTTTTTTTTTCTATCAATGACTACGAAAGAAAAAACAGTTTATCTATAAAATTAAAAATACTGTTTAATTTTCTGTATCTGTAATAAAAGATGTTGGTTCCATTGTTCGACAACAAAATATTTCTCTGAATTTTAAACATTCTTCAATACTTCCGACACCAGCATAAGATGTTGCATCTTTTAAACACATAGCAGCAACACATATTCCACAAAATAAACGTTCTTGAATTGACCATTTTTTATAAATTCCATAAATAACACCAGCAGCAAATGCATCACCAGCACCAACAGCACCTTTAATATATCCACTTGGAAGACACAATGATCCTTGATAAAATGATTCGATAGTTGACGAATTTTCTCGACTTACGCAAATAGCACCACGATCAAAATGAATTGTTACTGTACGTTGTACACCATAATTTTCCATTAATATTCTTGCTGCTTGTTCAATTTGTTCTATAGTTCCTTGTTGAAATGATTGATTAAGTATAAGACCAGTTTCAATTTCATTTAATATTAAATGATCAACATAGGGTAATGTTAATTGAGCAATTTTTGAATATAATGAATTATGTACACTAACAAAATCTATAATTGTTTCTAAACCATATTCTTTTGCTTTTTTAAGTACTTGTGCTGCTACTGTTTCATTATTTATAATTTGATCTAAACCATCAAGTAATGTTAAATAACCAAGATAAAATAAATTATAATTTTTTTTCTTAGCGAGATAATTAAAATCAAAATGTGTATCATTAAGTAATGAATTCGTACCACGTTGATTAAAAAATGTTCGTCGACCTGTTGATTCAACACTGATTACATAGGTATATGATGTTGGTGTTTTATCATCAGTTGTATGTAATTGATTGATATCAATATTAGATTTTTTACAATCATCTATTAGCCATTGACCATTATCATCATTACCTAATAGACCAACAATTG